TCAGCATGTGTTGTGATGTAAATATTTAACCTATTAAATACTTTCTTCATATTTCTGAGTTTTTTATAGCTAGCATAGTTTTCAAAATTATTATTGCTATAAATACCTAGACTTTATTTAAATAAATGGGTAATGTCATATTCAGGGATATGTGTCCATAATTTTACCTCTAGTCTTTGCAGTCACATTACTTCTAAATATATTGTAAAAGTCAGCTAGCTACAGTAATGTTGTCAATATAAAAATAAGAAATTACTGGTAAGCCCTAGCTGGTTTGGCTCAGTGGATAGAGTGTCGGCCTGTGGACTGAAGAGTCCTGGGTTCGATTCTGGTCGGGGGCACATGCCCAGATTGCGGGCTTGATCCCTAATAGGGGGTATGTGGGAGTCAGCCAATCAATGATTCTTTCTCATCAGTGATGTTTCTGTCTCTTTCTCCCTCTCCCTTCCTCTCTGAAATAAATTTAAAAAAAAATTTTATAAAAAGAAATAACTAATGATTTAAAAATCTGAATAAAATGGACAAACATGTCTCTCTGCTTATTCTAAGAAATGATGAATGATGAAATGATTGTATTTGAGTTTAGCAAGTGTTAATCTTATCAACTGTGTTTCTTGAGTGTTTAAGTCCACTAAATATGTTAAATAAACTATTTGTGGGTAAAGGTAGAGATATGATAGAAATTTTTCTTTTAGAATATCTAAAATTAAGAACATCCATGTAGGGAGTATTTAGGGGTAAAATAAATGGGATTTTGTTCTTTATATATTTTTTTTAAATATATTTTATTGATTTCCCACAGAGAGGAAGGGAGGGAGATAGAGAGTCAGAAACATCGATGAGAGAGAAACATCGACCAGCTGCCTCCTGCACATCCCCCACCGGGGATGTGCCCGCAACCCAGGTACATGCCCTTGACCGGAATCGAACCTGAGACCTTTCAGTCCGCAGGCTGACGCTCTATCCACTGAGCCAAACCGGTTTCGGCTTCTTTATATGTTTATTAGAGGCCCCGTGCATGAGATTCATGCACTGGTGGGGGGCGTGGCCTGTGGGGATTAGCCCACTGTGGGAGCGCCACTCATCCGGGTCAGCAGAGCGGCTGTGGACCCGCCCTCTGAGCAGCTGCTCCCTGGTCTGGCATCTGCCTTGGAACCGGAGCACTCGCCTCTCCAGGGAACCTGGTCAGGCCAGGCCCAAGGACAATAGCACTGAGAGGCAGCAGCCATGAACCCACCTCCCAGCCTCTGGGGTCAGCTCTGCGAGCCCAGCAGCAGCGGCCTGTGGGCATCCGGAGGAGGCAGGCGGCAGGGAGCGAGGAGGAGGAGCCTTGGGTGAGGAGGGGGAGATCGCAGCACGGATTCCTGTCTGTTGGCCCTGGGTTCACAGCGGGAGCAGCCGCTCATCCCAGTTAGCCAGCGGTGCTCCCCCTGTGGGAGCACACTGACTACCAGGGGGCAGCTCCTGCATTGAGTGTCTGCCTCCTAATGGTCAGTGCACGTCATAGTGACTGGTCGTTGAATATGAAATAGATAAATGGCTAAATTTTGATGTGTTGTCTCTATGCCTATTTTTTAAACTTAATGTAAAATTATTTAACAAAATCAAAGGTTTTCAGATTTATTTTGAAATTAAAAAGTTATCACAATGAGATCAAATGAATAAAAAAAGAAGTGTTACTGTTCTTTACAGTAGAATTGGTAAAAAAGTATGAATCATCATTTATATCTTTCCTGTGATTTTTCTTTATTTATAATAAGATATTGCTACTTATTTACTCTGGTTATAAAGAACTGCTTCTAATTATTATTTCCAGATAGATGTTTATAATTAGCATTAGTTTATGCTTTAAATACTAATCCTAGATAATATGCAAATCGACCAAATGGCGGAACAACCAGTCGCTATGTCATGCACTGACCACCAGGGGGTAGATGCTCAATGCAGGAGCTGCCCCCTGGTGGTCAATGCACTCCCACAGGCAGCGCTAAGGATGTCCAACTGGGGTTTAGGTCCACTCCTAAGCTGTCAGTCAGACATCCCCCGAGGGCTCCCAGACTGCTGAAAGACCTTACCCCACCACCCCCAGTGCATGAATGTCGTGCACTAGGCCTCTAGTTTAAAATAAAATAATGGTCAAATTTTTAAATAAAATAAAGAATAATGATTCTTTCAACCCCATAATTTTTGTTTTATCATATAACCAAGATACAAGGGCCAGATAATTCTTTGTTGTTGTTGGGCCAGATAATTCTTGCATTGTAGGATGTTTAGCAGCATCTCTGTCCTGTATCTGTAAGATTCTAGTAGCACTCCCCAGTTGTGAAACAAACATTATCTCCAGACTTTGCCAGGAGTTCCCTAGGAGACAGCATTGACTCCAGTTGAGAATCACTGCCGTGGTATATTTACTAAAATTCTTATCATGCTTTTCAGGATCATAATTTGGAATAAAGCAGTGTAATATTAGTAGCAAGGTGCAAAATCAGCAGAATAGAAATGCTGCTAGGCAATATTTTGGATTGTTCAACATAAATAAAAAGGTCAGAAACAATAACCACATTTCTTAAAGACCAGATTGTTTAGATCAGCCGTGGGCAAACTACGGCCCGCGGGCCGGATCTGGCCCGTTTGAAATGAATAAAACTATTGAAAAAAAAGACCGTACCCTTTTATGTAATGATGTTTACTTTGAATTTATATTAGTTCACACAAACACTCCATCCATGCTTTTGTTCCGGCCCTCCGGTCCAGTTTAAGAACCCATTGTGGCCCTCGAGTCAAAAAGTTTGCCCACCCCTGGTCTAGATCATTAATACAGAACATTTCATTGGAAACATTTCAGTGAGTGCCACACAGAGCATAAAATTAGTTAATAGCTATACAAGTCACTTATGGTTGTTTTTCTTCAGTCGTTATTTTAAATAGGAAATAGCAAGATCTGTAGATATTAGAGGACACATGAAGGTCCTTGTACTATTTTGTGTTACACCAAAGTCTTTTATTTTTCCTGGCATGCTGGAATAAAAATGTGTTTCACTCCTTTGGTCATTATGTCTACAACAGGTGATGCCCAGTACCCTGCTGGGAATGTCATTAAATCTAACTTCCTCTCCAAAATTTTTGGCATTCTGTATCATGGCGAGCACTCAGCAGGCAAGCCAGTTCACAGGATGTTTTTCAGTTTAAACATATGCCAGAGAAAATTTAAAATGTAGCTATTTGAGTTATATAGAAAAGCAAAATGATTTCAATTTAGTAAATTGGATATGCAGGAGAGAGAAATATACAACTCTTAACTTCAACATCCATTAAGCACACTGTGCATTAGAACGAATTTTATGGGTTTTATTGAGCATTTGTACAAAACCCTAACTAATTATTGATGGAGAATCTATAGGGCAGTGGGCATCACTAGACTTTTTGAGGTGGGTGTCCAGAAGAAGGAAAGATAGGCCCAAATCTTGAACTGGGTGAGAACCCTACTCAGCAGTAGGGCCTGTGTTGTTTTTCTTTACTCAGTGACTTATTCCTACTGTGGAGCAAGGAGAGGAAAAAAAGAAAATAGTGTCATATCTTTCCTGGTTGTTTTACTAAATGAATCAAGATTAATCTTGTTTTAATCCTGTCTCAAATGAATCGTGTAAAATATTAACCTAATATCAGATTGGACTTCTAAAAGTAAAATTATGCCATGCTATGGTCCTTCGCGTTACACTTTTAACTATTTAAAGGGTACTTGTATGGTAAGTTTATTATGTGTTTGGCCCTCACTGGAGATGTGCTGAAAGTGCCTGGCCCATGGTAGACAATCAAGAAATGGTTGCTGAATGAATGTGTGGGAAGGTGGTGTCCTGGTGTGGCAGTATGTCTTATTGTACAATATAAAAATTTTTAAATCAGTAGAGAAAAACATATACAAAAGAAGGCATGTACCCATCACCCAGCTTGAACAATTATCGACTCATGGCCAATCTTGTTTCAACCATACTCCGCATACTTTTCCCTTGCCATATTATTTTGAAGCAAATTTCAGGTATATCAATTTTTTGATAAATATTTCAGTATCTATCTCTAAGATATTAGAGCTCTTTTCTTTAAACATTACCACAGACCCTTATCATACCTAAAGTATTAATCCCTTAATACCACCAAGTATCCTGTCAGTGTTCGAACTTTTAATTATTTCATAAATGTCATTTTCCCCTACATATTTTCATTTGAATCAGGACTCAAAAAGATGTACATAATGTGATTATTTTATTTATTTCTTATTTTTTAATCTTTAGTTTTTCCCATCCTCTCTTTATTTCCCCCCTTGTAATTTATTTCTTAAAGAAACTGGGTTGTGTGTTACAGCGTTTCCCACAGCCTGGAGTTTGCTGATTGTGTCCTAATAGTGTCACTTAAACTTCACTTATGCTCCTCTGTCTCCTGTATTTCCTGTAAACTGGTAGTTGGAGCTAAAGGCTTCATCAGATTCAGATTCAATTTTCTTCTTGGCAAGTTCAAAAAAGAAGGTGGTGATCAAATCAACAAGACAGTATTATTGGCTTTTTGCTTAGTGCCTTGCCTATTGACTTAGCATTTGTTGAATATTTTTATGTGCCTACGAATGAACTTATGTTATATAGGTATTATGTCATTTAATCATATTTAAGCCTCATCACGTATTATATATCTATTTCTTTCTGACGACCAGACCTCTAATTAGGGCATTAGGGCATTAATTAAATGTCTTTCAAACGAACCCCTTGGTATATACTCCCATTGTCATTTATGTGATTTTAATTTGGAATTGTCTGAATTTTCTGTTTACTGGATTCATTTAGAAGTATACAAAATACCTTGCATTAAAATGCATTTTTTTGTATCTTAATAAAATTAAAATAATAAAGCTCATATCCCTATTATTTAACTGTGAATTTATTGTACTTAAGCTTTCTGGTAATGGGATTCACCATCTGTTAACCTAACAAAGACTGATATCTAAACCATAAATAGGGCCAACTGAATTCAGTATTTCCTGAGTCTCTTTTTCCTTTGCACTCATTGTCTTCTGCAGGTGCACTTTTATTTCCCTTTCATCTCTTTCTGCTTTCATTGTATGCTCACAGTACTCACAGTATCCTACTGTTGCCCAGTGTGAGAAACTGGCTTGTGATTTTAAAAGAAAAACTAGCTTTTTGTTGTTTGTTTACATTTCTTTAATTTATTCTGCTCAATTCTCTCCATAGTCCTAAATTCTACTGTTTATAAAACCAGACCATTGCAGCTCCAGACTCAAAAAAGAAATGTCAAATTATCTTGACCAACTGACACTTGAAGATTAAACTGTTTGATGTGTGGTTTCGGTGATCCCAAGAAAGAATATACTTGTCAAAAAAGACGCCTTGTCATTAACTAGGCCCAAATTTATAATCGGAGTCCAGCAGCCATTGTTTATAGAGGCCTCTCATGCATATGAGGGAACAGCCTCAGACTGAGCTGCTAGCCTCTTGCACTGAGTTTCTGCTGCATGAGCTGTACCTTATAAAGAAGTTCCTGGAATCGTATTTCAACCAATAGGCTGAGACCTGCCCCATCCAATTGGAGCTGCACAGCTGTATCTTCATTTGCATCTTCACTGACCAATCAGAGCAGTTTCATAATAACCAATCAGGACTTAAGATTCCAAGCAATTAGAACAGTACTATTTGTACCAATCAAGCTACACATTTAAATTTCTTATTTGCATAAAAATGGACCAATCTAGAACCAGGGCAAGCACATTGTCTATATAAGCCAGCCTCCCCTTTGTGGAGAGGAGAGCGTGTACTTTCCAATTTCCACTGGTTGCTGTGTTTCCTTGGTTTGTAAAAACTGTTCACCTGAATAAAGTTTCTCTTTTTACAACACCCCAGATGAGGCCACCTATTGACATTAGATTGGTGGCACCAATCCTTTGTTAACAGGTTGATGGAGAAAAGGTACCACTGGCCCAAGTTGCAATTAGATACCAAAGCACTCAAGCAAAATAATGCAAAGAGGATCCTACTGTGCACCTTTACAAATTATCGTGTAAGGGAGTAAGGTATCCTTTATATGTCTTAACCTTTCTTCTCCAGTCATTTCTCCTTTAACAGTTGTAGCATTCTCAACTTTCCAGGATATCTATGAGGGGAAGCATTTGGCTGGTTAAAAAGAAGGAACATAAGGCCTTAGTGAATATAATAGGTAAATAGGAGTTTATTTTCTTATTCTGGTTATACACCACTGTGAGGGATTAGACAGCTAGCCAAATTTCTTGTTCTTATGTTTAAAAAACACAATTATTTTTATCTTGATTATCCATAAAGAACTTTAAGATTCTTATTTGAAACAGTCTTCAGTAAACTTGTAGTAGATAGGAATCTTGTCTCTCTCCCCCTGACCTTACAGGGTGCCCAGGGTCGCATGGTGCGCGTGCGCGTGCTTAATAAGTAGCTTTCAATGCTGGTGGTATTTGAAAGGTTATACATTTTAAAGGGTATTTTGTTTCCCTTTTTGTTGGCAGGACCAAGGAGCTTCCTTTTCTAAGACCAGTACTATTTGAACTCAGTGAAAGTACACTTTGTTCAAGGAGAATTGCCATATGAAAGCCTAGAATATATATTGAGTTCTTTCAAGAAAGGGGGGGAAATCATGTTCTAGACAGTGAGTGCTGACTCGGTGCTGAATGAATAATTGTTATGTGCTCTTTTATTCACAGGCTCGTTTCTCATATGTGCGGATGAAATACCTTTTCTTTTCCTGGTTGGCAGTTTTTGTTGGAAGCTGGATTGTATATGTGCAGTACTCCACCTATACAGAACTATGCAGAGGAAAGGACTGTAAGAAAATAATAGTAAGTTTTTTTATTTCCCGGTATATGGAAAAACCAAGATTAATAACATTATTTTACTACTTAGATATATAATAATATTTTCAAAAAGTAAAAGTTAATTTGACCTTAGAGTTGTGCTGAACTTCTTAGCATTTTGATATGACTATTCCCCACTTAGGAAAATCTAATATTCAGAAGTCTAAATATATAATACAGACTAGTGTGAGAGCATCATCATTACAAAGAGGGATTTTTATTTTTCAAATATACTTGAAGTTTGCCCTAGCTGGTTTGGCTCAGTGGATAGAGTGTCAGCCTGCAGACTAAAGGGTCCCAGGTTCTATGCTGGTCAAGGACACACGCCCGGGTTGCGGGCTCGATCCCCAGGAGGCAGCTGATCATTGATTCTCTCTCATCATTGACGTTTCTATCTCCCTCTCCCTTCCTTTATGAAATCAATAAAAATATGTTTAAAAGATATGTGTGTGTATGTATATATATTTGTAGATATACTTGAAGTTGGATTTATTCTAATCAGATAGTTTTTTTGTTTACAGTTTGAAAGTGTTATATAACCTTTCCAGAATACATTTTTTGAATAAATGTAGTTATTCTCAAATACCAGAAATTTATCTAAAAAGCATAAACATTCATTTATTATTTAATTTCTTTTCTAACATTTGGCTATACCTCTGGAAGATTGCTCTGTCAGTCTAAGATTTCTAGTAGTAATCATTGCTTCCATGGCACTTATATTTTAAATGTTTGAGTCTAAGTAAATTTAACTCCTTGTTTTCTGCTAATATATTCTGATGTAAATAATGTTAAAACATTTAATCTGTTAACTATATTTTTGGTAGTAATGCTTGTTTGGATTCCAATTATTATAACTTATTAAAGATTCTATAATTATTGAGTGGTTATCTTAACCTAAGCCAGTGGTGCTAGGTGTGTGCATATAGCAGGGGACAAGACATCCTGACCTTACAAACCTATAGCAGGGAAGAAGATGAGGAACTACAGTAGGGTAAGATAAATATTGCAATAGCAAGTGTTATAGGAACATAAGACAGGGAGATCTGAGCTTCCCAAAATTCTAAGAAAATAAAAATCAGTTTAGCTCTAGGTATTCTTAAATCCAGCCAGGATTTTTAAAAAGTTTTTCCTCAGGAGTAGTACAGCTTCTTAACTAGGCAAGGGAGGAATTGCTAATATAAGAAGTATAACAGCAGAGGAGAATTTTTTTAAGTGTAAGCTTTTTAAAAGCCACATATAAGTGGACCTGTATAGTTTAAATTTGTGTTGTTCAAGGGCCACGTGTGGAGTGGTTTCCACTTTAGGCTATTGTAAATAACGGTGTGCAAATAGCTTTTGAATCCTTATTTTTAATTCTTTTGGGTATATACCTAGAAGTGGAATTGCTGAATCATACGGTAGTTCTATATTTAACTTTTTGAGGAACTGCCATATTGTCTTCCTAATTTTCTCAAATACATTTCAATTCTCTGTTGTTTTATTTTCTCTACCTTTTTTCTTGGACGTGAACATAGTTATTTTAAAATCCTTTTTGGATGACTCGAGGGCCTGGATCATCTGTGGACCTGTTTCTGTTGTCCATGCTTACCTCTTGTTTTTGGTCCTATCATTTTGTCTTTTAGCATGCCCTGTAATTTTTTACATAATGCCTCCAGATAAAAGTTCCTTTCCCTCTAGTAGCTGATTATCTTAACCCTATCATGGACCGTTTGGGCTGGAGGCTTGGTTGCACCTCTAGTGCAACCCTCTGCTCAAGCTATTTTTGGCTCATCCCTATTCCCAGAGCATAGCCCTCTAAGGATTTTAACTGAGAGCCTGGGAATTCATTGGGGTTTCTCCCTCTGGCAGGTTCATAACTTGAATCTGTATCTTGTGAGACTGCCAAAATGTCTGCTCTGCTTTTCAAAGGCTTTCCAATGAGATTTTTTAGCCTCCCATTCTGTAAAGCCTCAGGATTTGGCAAATATCCCAACAGGATAACTGGCTGTATGCTTGAGGCTCCCTTAGTTTCCTATTTTTAAAATACTCACTGGTTTCTTATCCCCAGCAGCAGCTCGGACCCCCGCTCATGCCCAGTATTGGCAAAATCCTCAAGGGAAAAAGAGGCTATGAGCTCATCTCTCTGAGTTTCTTTTCTTTCTTTTTTTTGAATATATTTTTATTGATTTGAGAGAGAGGAAGGAAGGAAGGAAAGGAGGGAAAGAAAGAGGGAGGGAAACATCAATTGGTTGCCTCCTGCACTCACCTTGACTAGGGATAAAGCCCACAACCAGGGTGTGCACCTTCACCTGATGGGAATTGAACCTGTGACCTTTTGGTGCATGGGAGGATGCTCAACCAACTGAGCCACACTGGCCAAAGCTCTCTAAAGTTCTCCTAGCTCACCTTTATCCCCTGGGGGTCAGCCTTCAGAGTCACCACCCAAAGCATGGTGTACCAAGTCCCCACGCTTGGTAAGGACGGAACTAGATTTTTATCTTCCATAAGACTGTGTTTCAAAAAAAAAAAAAATGTGTTGGAATTCCCCTTTTGTAGAGCCCAAACTTGCATCAATCCTACAAACAGCAAATCCTTTTATTGCGTTTTTTAATGCTCAGTGTTAAAAAACAAATTTTGATCTACTGTGCTAGAAGAAAAGCTCACAGAAAATGGTTTCACAAAGTGGTTGCCAAATGAAGAGGTGATTAAGAAAATGTGGAGGGAAAATGCACTTTGTCAAGAAGTTAATGAAAATATTATAAATTTCCTGGATTTTAGGATGTGTGTTATAGACATCAGCTTTTTAAGACATTAATTTATTATGATTTTTTTTCTCATTCTAATTAAATATGGTTCTCTGCTAAAAAAAAAAAAAAAGGACTGTGTTTCAGGTCATACATCTGAGAGCAATTGCAGCCACAAAATCTAGGTTCATCTCTTTCGAATCTTACCTCTCCCATACCTTGATCAAGTAATATTTTATTAGCTCTTAGAACCTTTAATATATACCTTAAAAATAGTTTCTGCTTCCTTCTTAGTTCTAATCGAACAATTCCTATGCAGTATTAGTCCTGTCTTAGTATTATTTATCTTAGTACTAGTAGTTTTGATAGGTTTTAAGGACATAATTCCTAAATGCAGAGAAACTACAACTTTCTTTAGGCCAGCCTTAATGAAAAGATACATTTTAGGCTCAGAAATTTTTTTCATCATTTTCAAGTTTTAGTAAAATAAGCATTAAATTATGCTAGAATTTTGCTCTCCATCTATTTCTTATTAATTACTATTTTTGAATTTATCTTTATTTTTGAAAATATTACAGATGTCCCCTTTTCCTCCCCATTGACCCCCCCAGCCTTCACCTCACTATTACCGTTGTCCATGGGCTATGCTTAATCTCTTCCTGCCCTCCGCCCACGCCCACCCTTCTCTCTGAGATTCATCAGTAAAATGAAATTAGTCTCCAGAGGATTAAAAGTCACAATCTGTCTCAGCTTACATGGCTTCCTTCTTCTCTGTAAAACTGTCTCTGTCTTTTTTCTTCTCTCTCCATATGTGTGTGAGGGGTCATAGCTAATTGTAGTGGTTAAAAGCATAAGCATTGGAATAAAAGAGCTTCGGATTTGAGTTCTACCTTTGCCATTCCTTAGCTGTATAAACTTGGGCAAGTTATTTAGCTTCTGCAAAATGAGGATAAATACTGTGTGTCTCATCAAATGGTTGTGAGGATAAAATGAGTTCATGTATTAAAAGGTTAATAATACTGTATTGTATATTTGAAAGTTGCCAAGAGAGTAGATTTAAAAGTTACCAAAAGAAAAAAAAATTACAGCTATGAATGCTAACTAGACTTATTGTGGTGATTATTTCACAATATAGATGGTCCTCAATTTATGATGGTTCGACTTATGATATATTCTTTTTAAATTCTCATCCGAGGATATTTTTCCATTGATTTTTTTAGAGAGAGTGGAAGAGAGAGGGAAAGGCAGAGAGAGAAACATCAATGCGATACTAAAAAAATTCTACACTTGGAGAAAGGATGTATTTCTTCTGATGTGCTCTGGGTTCCATTTCAATATTTTATTTAGCTTTCTTTTTTCCTAAACTTTCTTGAGAGATATTGGTCTACTGTTTACTCTTTTGGGGGATCCCAATATTTGGTGGGTTTTGATTTCATTGTTACATTCATTGCCTTGAAAAAAAATTTGAAAGATTTTGTTATAAAAAATTTATATAGCCCTAACCGGTTTGGCTCAGTGGATAGAGCGTCGGCCTGCGGACTGAAAGGTCCCAGGTTCGATTCCAGTCAAGGGCATGTACCTGGGTTGCGGGCACATCCCCAGTGGGGGGTGTGTAGGAGGCAGCTGATCGATGTTTCTCTCTCATCGATGTTTCTAACTCTCTATCTCTCTCCCTTCCTCTCTGTAAAAAAAAAATATATATATCAATAAAATATATTTTTTTAAAAAAGCAATGGAAAAAATATCCTCAAATGAGGATTAACCAAAAAAAAAAAAAGAAAGGAAGGAAGAAAGGAAGGGAGGGAGGGAGGGAAGGAGGGAAGGAGGGAGGGAGGAAAGAAGCAAGGACGGAAGGAAGGAAGAAAAAAGATGAGGGAGGAAGAGAGCTTTTTCCTTCTATACCTTTCTCAGGAAATTATTTAATGTTGATATTTCCGGCACGTTCCTCTGTGATCCAGAGAGAGGTTCTACTTGGATACTAGTGAGGAATCACTGTGCCATTCGGTTAACCTTCCTGGCTATTATATTAGCATGTGCTTTAAAATTGAAGCATTAAAAGATGAAAGAGCCTCTAAATTTTATTACAGTCTCTTTTAAAATTTAATTTCTAGAGATGATGGCTTGTTGCTTTAAACAACTAACTTAACATATACTAGATTTAATATATCTGGAGTCATGTTTCCAGTTAGATAGCAGAACTTACCTAATTATTTAATTTAGCTTTGCTTCTGCTTAGGATTAATCATTATTATTTGACTCCAA